GTGACTCCAAAGGAAAGGCTGGTTTGTGAGGACAAGACGAAGATGCAAAGACAGATTCCAAAAGTCAGGCACTCGAGCTGGGGCACGTCCGCAGTGGTCAGTTGAGGCTTGTGCCCCAAACTGCAGGTGGCATGGATCCAAGTAACAAGTACACAGCCCCAGGAGCAAGAATGAGTTGACAATGAGCCAACGGCCTTGGGCGCTAAACTCCTACTCAACATTTCATGGGCAAAGCTGACCTTAAGAGTCTGAGCAAAAATAAGCCAATAAGAAGCAACTGGAATGATTAATTGGATGAGAAGAAAGGAGGATGGGGATGGTAGCAGGCTAGTGACAAGAAGGCGGTAGGTGGGATGGCATTTTGAGAAAAGCCCAGCATCCTGGCAACTACCACCAGAGTTTATGTAAGCAAGCCCCGGGGGCCCACTTAGCTGACCTACAAGTATAATTGTGAATCCCTGTTTGGAAATGAAACGCAAGCCGTAGAGATAAACAAGGTCACCAAGAAAGGTCACAAGAACAATAGGCAAGTAACATGAAAGATGTAGTTTTTCCATCTTCAAGTATATCCAAACTCTACTCACAGATGTCTAGACGGTCGTGGCCCCAGCTTACAAACCTCTGTTTTAGACGCGCAGCAATGCAGAACGCTCCACCACCTTAGTTCCGAGACGAAGCCTGAAACGAAACCTATTCACTGAGCTCCTTGAGGTTAAAGCGAGGGTAAAGGTCGTATTCATCTTTACACATGGTGCCAGGCTGTCCCCTGGAGTATGGTAGGGACATAATCAACGCACAGGTATTCACGCATTGTTCGAGATGCTAGTAGGCTGTGAACGGGTTACCAGAACTTGAGTTTTACGCAGGACCAGAGTTTGGATCATCAGCATCCGGCAGCCACCAGAGAAATGGCAAAATCTGCATGGGAGGTGGAGGTGGGGGCAAGAGAAAAGGAAGGGGAGAGAGATCTCAAGTCTACATGAACACAGGGGCGCCTGGGTGGCACAGTCGGTCAAGCGTCCGACTTCAGCCAGGTCATGATCTCGTGGTCCATGAGTTCGAGCCCCGCGTCGGGCTCTGCGCTGACAGCTCGGAGCCTGGAGCCAGTTTCAGATTCTGTGTCTCCCTCTCTCTCTGCCCCTCCCCCACTCACACTCTGTGTCTCTCTCTCTCAAAATAAATAAACGTTAAAAAAATAATAAAGTCTAGATGATTACAGAAAACAAAGTACTAGGAGGTGGCGGGATATTAGAGTCACTCAGGATAACCCTTTGCTCACGTCTCCAGAAAACTCCATGCCCCTTCCTTATGCACAAGCCTTCATGTGACTGAAGCACAAATTTCTCTACCACTTCCAGTGGCCCCAAAAAAACAGATCTCTCCCCTTAAAAAGCCCCTGCCGGCGTCCACTGGGAGGTGTAACTCTCTGATTCGATCCTCAGCAGGAGTGACTGGCATTGTCAGTCCCGCTGGCCCGCGGTCCCGGGTCTCTCCCCCAGACCACTACCCCTCAGTGGTCTTGAAAGTGCCTTGTTTGCTCCGAGATGAGCTCCCACCATGCACAGGAAGCCACTGCTCCAGAACCTTCATGCAAATTATTCACAGTAGTAAACAGGCTTCACACCAAGTGCGTTGTTTGCCTTTCCCGGGTAGAAAGCACATTCTTGCCACACTTCGGTGGCCCTGGGCCCACGAGGCACACTTCTTCACGGTGCCCTCTAACTGCGTGGGGAGCACCGAAGTGGTAATTACCTCAGAAAGTGCTCTTTTCCGTGTATTTGGCTGCAGAAAAATAACACTCTGCCTCTCTTTCCATGCGTCTCACGGAATTATGTAAATAGACCCAAAGCAAACCAGTTTAAATGATTATAAAATGGATTTCTAAGTGATATCTGTTACTAGACGAGAATACTAAAAAACCTTGCTCTTTCTCAGCCACCAAGATGAAAGAATAAAAAATTTAGTAAGAGAGGGGCGCCTGGGTGGCCTCAGTTGGTCAAGCCTCCGGCTTCAGCTCAGGTCATGATCTCACGGGAAAGGAGTAATAGTAGTAAAATGATCTCTGGTGGATCGTGCCTCGTGAGTAAGGAACTCCTGGGGCTTTGCCCAGGTGGAAGGGACAAATGTCTTGCCCAAGTATAGAGGAGGGATCACTTCCCAGGGCTCTGGCTGCATTTTGAAAAACAACCGAGGGAAGAAAACAGATACAGAGGATGTAAAAGGGACTCGCCGAACGCAAGAGGGGTCCCCAAACTTTGGCACCTATAAAATCACAACGGGAGGCCGTGGAAACGGATTCCGGATTCAGCAAGTCTGCCCGGAGCCCAGAAATTTTCAAGTTCCCAAGTGACGTTGCTGCTGTTAGCGGATAAGGCCACACTTTGAGCAACACTGGCTTAGAGGAAACAGGGACACATGTCAGCCCAGCATTGGCAAGCCCGTCACTTGCTCTGCTGCTCTCCCCAGCTACTGGGCTATGAGCTACGCATGGGGCTCTGCCTCTCCTGACGCAGGCTCTCCAACTGGCATATCTTACCTCGTCAAACAGTGGTTATTCCCACAGGTGGGCGTCTGGCCAATCCCGATCCACAGGGATTCTTTCCTTCCTTCCAAGATCTTAGGTACCAAGGGCCGTGCAATTCTGAAGCCACGCGCGTCTGTCTTTATGGCTAATTGGGGAGAGACTGCTTCAAATACAGAGGCAGAGAAATAGAAAGGAGATACAATACAATACAATACAATACAGAGAAAAAGAAAGGAGACAGAAAAGGAGAGAGAAAAACCTGACAATACTGTCTAAATCCCTGGACCTTTAACTCGTAGACCCAAAGGACTTGGCCAGGGAGTCCAGAAATCAGCCCCCACCCCGCCTTTTTCAACGGACGCCAGTTTGAGCTGGTGATTCTGTCGCTCCGAACAGCAAGATTCCTGGTTAATATGCGTTCCTTCCAACGGCTGCGGAGGCATCATCAACTTCACAACTCTGCTGAGGACCCCGGCAGTGAGGAAAAAGAGGCCAGGTACGCGGACTCAGGCGCCTGACCGAGTCCAGCCTGGCCCAGCTCAGTTAGTGCTACACGCGAAGTTGCCGCCCCCCCAGCTTCTCGAAGCCATTTGAGCTGCCGAATGGCTCTCCTTAAAAGGGCACCCCTATTTGCCTCGCTGGGGATGCCATTTCCTCCCGGGGTCACTCCTCCTCCACAACGCCTCCATCCTTCAGGTGGTGGGGGGTGAGAGGCCAGGGTGCCGCCGTCATGTGCTCTGGGGACTATGGCAGGAAGCAACCGCAAGCTCATCTACTCAGGTACATCTGACTCAGCCAGTTCTGCAGAAACCAATGGTTTCGACCAGACTCACCCCAGGAGGCGTGCGCTCAGTTACCTGGGAATTACCTCTCTGCCAGAACATCCTCCCAGGTAAGACCCTCCTAATTTTACCTGTACACGCCAACCCTGTATCCAATTCCCAACATCAAAGTGGGGGTATCCTTATGTTTCTGTTCTCGCACGTCAGTATAGGGGAAAAGCTCCGTGTGCTGCCTGCTATTATTTACATTGACTAAGCTACCTCCTCAGCTGTTACTTTTTTTTTAAGTTTATTTATTTCTGAAACAGAGAGAGAGAGAGAGAGAGAGAGAGAGAGCACGCTTGGGCGCACAAGTTGGGGAGGGGCAGAGAGAGGGAGACAGAATCGGAAGCAGGTTCCAGATTCCAAGCTATCAGCACAGAGCCTGACGTGGGGCTTGAACCCACAAACCGTGAGATCGTGACCTGAGTCGAAGTCAGACGCTCAACTGACTGAGCCACCCAGGCGTCCCTGGACTGTTACTCTTGAAATAGCAACTCCTTCCTCTCTGCCCCTCCTACTTGTATTCCTTTCATGGAATTGCTTCTGATCTTTAGCATAAAATATTAGTCCATGAACAGCATCATTGCCTCTCCCTCTCAAACTCCTTTCATCCTGTTCTGGCCTCCCTGCCATAGTCCAGTTCTTAACCAGTTTTCCAGAACAGATCAACCTCATCACACTCTTTTGGAGCCTTATTCCTGAATCAAGAAGATAATCTTCACCCTGAATATCAATTTTCTTAGCTTTTAAGATTGTTCCTGGCCAATGTGTGGTGGTTAAATGTGTGGGCTCTGAAAGCAAGCTTTCAGGGTTCAGTACCCACCTTTACTCCTGACTCGTTGTTTAATTTCTCTGGGTTTCCATTTCTTCATCGGTAGATAATTCTAGTGACCACTTGGTGGGTTTGTTGTGAGCAGTAAGTAACAGTGGAAGGAAGCATTCAATACAACTCCAGGCACCTAAGAAGCATTCCACAAATATTAGTTCCTAATATTAGTTCAGGGATATGAGGGAAATCTCACTTCCCTTATCAATGAGGCAGAAAGAAATGCTTAATTATCACACTTCACACTGTGTTGGAATCTTTGATCTGACACTACAGTGTTGAGGTTACTTTACATCCTTTCTTTTTTACTCAGCCTGACACATTGTAGGGGCTCGAGAAATGTGTTCGGAGCACCTGTGGTTAAGCGACTGACTCTCGATTTCGGCTCAGGCCATGATCTCACGGTTTGTGAGTTCAAGCCCCACATCAGACTCCACACTGACAGTGAAGAGCCTGCTTGAGATTCTCTCTGTCCCTCTCCTACTCTCTCGCTCCTTCTCCCTCTGCACCTCCCCCCCCCCCATTCTCTCTCAAAATAAGTAAAAAGAATGTGTTAGGGGCACCTAGGTGGCTCAGTCGGTTAAGCATCTCACTTTGGTTCAGGTCATGATCTCACAGTTCACGAGTTCAGACCCCGCGTCGGGCTCTGTGCTGACAGCTCAGAGCCCGGAGCCTTCTTCAGATTCTGTGTCTCCCTCTCTCTCTGCCCCTTTCCTACTCATGCTCCATCTGTCTGTCTATCTGTCTCTCTCTCAAAAATAAATAAACATTAAAAAAATAAAAAATAAGTAAAAGGAATGTGTTCAATGGATAAACTATTCTGTACCTGGCTCATCTTCTTGGCTGTATGACCTTGGGCAAGTCCTCAAAACCCACCAAGTAGATGCCACTTTCCGATTTTTCAAGATGAAGGAAACTGAAGATCAGACAGCTTAAGCGACTTGTTCAAATACGAAGAGCTAACATCTAGTCCACCGGCTTCTTCTCCTTTGACTCATGAATCCTTCCTGTAAGTGAATATACTACTGTAAGCCCGTAGGGAGTTTTTAATCATTTCAGCATTGATAAATAAGTGACTTCTTTCTTTAAACCATATTCTATTGTAGAACCGTCTCATTGAACAGTATGCTACAAAGATCGTGCAACATCCTTCATCATATTAAGACAAGTTTTGACTTGTCCCCACTTAACATGTGATGGAAAGCTGGTGGATTTACCTTAAATTATTTATGAAACAGAGAACAAAAAACATGAGTCGGTTTCAGGACAGAGTTTTACTATATGTTGCAAGGCATAAAAAAAAAAAAGAAAAAGACAAAACAACCTCCCTTTATGAGCTGATGTTTAGAATGCTAAATTCTGTGCTGATTTTTTTTAAACATATAATTGTTGTTCTAAATGACAAGATGTAAGAAAAGGTTTCCGGCTGATATCTGCAAGCACATCTCTCTGCAAATAACACATTGCAGGTGTGGAGAGTCATTACTCCCAATAAATGCAAAGCAAAATTGTGTATAATTGTTGCTATACGTTCTGTTTTTTACTTCAGTTTTGAAGCGCTCCCTGTAAGACTTTTATCGGATGAATGCCACTCTCAAATCTGGGGAAGGTCAGCCTCGGGTGAATTTGCTGATTTATTATCGGATTCTTGTTCCTCACGAATTGCTGCGTCTCAGTATCCCTGCTCTGTATGTATGCCTGTTTTCAAATAATGGTCCATTACAGGTGTACATTAAATAATCTATGATGGGGGGCGGGGGGTGTTGCAAAGAGCCAATGTGTCCCAACAGCTTACCATGGCTGTAAGGGTAATCAGATTCCCCGGTCTCCAGTCGGGTCTTGCCCAGCCTCGCCAGAAGATACTGCAACTTTGCACGGGCCCCAAGGTCTTCAAGCGCGAGAGCTGGCCTTGCCGGACAAACTCTTGCCAACGGCTGGACTTCATTAGTCTGTTCATTCCCCCCACACTGATGCGTCTGCCTTCCGAAAACAGGAAAGGGCAAGGGAATGGATCCGTCCCCCAGAGCGTAAGCTCACATGGCAAGTCTAGAACCATCTGGCCCCGTACACTTCTCCACAGGTTGAGGAGAGGACAGGGGGACCCCGACTTCTCCTGCTGTTTCCTTCCACTGACAAAGACTCTGTCCTTACCTACGCCGTAGGACAGTGAGATGGTCTCGAATCCCGGTACCCGTGGTGACAGCTGGTGATGCTGAAAGGGCCCCCCACCCCCACCCCACCAGCGTGATGACAAAGCATAAAAACAACTTAAAAGTGTAGAATAGCCCTAATGAGGGGCAGACAAAAAACAGTGGGCGGGAAGTGGTTCATCAGGAGAATTAAGGCCCTTGCCCCCAATGACATCTGTAGGTAAAGCTGATTATCTGCAATGACTCAGGGGCAAAGCGTGGCTAAAAAGAGCAGGAACTAAAGCCTGTTGAGAGCCCGTGACTGAGCTGGGTTGAAAGGGGAAGATAAATATGTTCTGAGAGCCACACGAGAAGGGGAAAAGGCCTGCAGAGGACACAAGCCACACAGGGGTGTTCTGTGGGGGTCTCTCTTACCTCTAGCTGCCTGGGTCCCGGAAGGGAAGTGAGTCACTTTCTGATAACTCACAATCGATTGAGGTCCGTCAAGATTTTTAAAAACTATTTTGTAATTTTTTTTTTTTTTTTTGAGAGAGAGAGAGAGAATGCATGTGAGCAGGCGAAGGGCAGAGAGAGAGGGAGACACAGAATCCGAAGCAGGCTCCAGGCTCTGAGCTGCCAGTACAGAGCCCGACGTGGGGCTCGAACCCACAAACCACGAGATCATGACCTGAGCCGGAGTCTGACGCTTAACTGACTGAGCCACCCAGGCACCCCTAGGTCTGTCAAGGTTAATCCCAGGGTCTCATATTTCGGCTTTTGACTTTCTCTCCAAATAAGGTTAATATACACAGTCTGAGACATAAGTAGATATGGTGCAATGATATTTTTTACCTTGAAGTTAAAATTTTACCTTTAAAAGTAAAACTGTTTACCATAGAACTTGCAACATTCCCTGTGCTGGATTTCTTCCTCACGCTGCTTGGGACTCCCTCTCCCCTCTTCCCCCTCACCACCACTGCAAGAGGCTAAGCTGTACATACCTCACTACAGACTCCCAAGCCTATGGCCAGGACCAGGGAGAGCTGAACAAGACAGTGAAGGTGCAAATTTTAGGGAAACCCTCGGTCCCAGGCCCCGATCCTACGCTTGCACGGCCCTGAGAGTGAGGCCTTCCTTCGTGTGGATCTCCGGATACCTCGCTTGCCTGGCCCTAGTCCCAGCCCTGCCCGTGCACTCAGCTTTCCAAGCTGAGTTCTGCCCGTGGGGATTCCTGGCAGGAAGTCAGAGAGAGGAAGGACAGGGAGGCCCGGTCATTTATCCCCTGGATCCCGCCCTTCGAGGTCACCTTGGCACAGCTGTTGCCCCTGACAACAGGGTACAGATGAGGTGGCTTGCTCTACACAGCTCTGCCTCCTTCCATGTGTCCCTTGGAGCCTAGAGGTGGTGACAACTGGCTGCCACCAGCCCAAATTACTGCACTGTCTATTGTGGTTCTCCTACATCAGCACATCTGCAAAGAATCCCTTCGTAAATAAGCCTTCCTTGAATAACGCTATTCTATCACCTTCCTGTGGAGCCCCTGTCGAACACAGGGGCCTCATTAAGGCTCTGACTCTGGTAGCACTCTGAATTAATATTTTAGGAGTCCTGTAATTACCTTGTGAATAACCCAACGACACCGCATTGTACCTTTTGACGTTAAAAGCATTACTTATGTAGGTGGGAACATTCTTTTTAAATGCCAAATTTTTGCATGGCTGTTTTGGCCTTGAAAAACGAAAGCTGGCCTGGATTTGCCTTATCCTCATGAGACCTTGATATCCCCCAAACTTGATTCGGCGGCAGTGAGGTACCATGACCAGGAAAACAGGCTTTGGAGTTCGACAGACTTAGATGCAAAACCCCGGCTCGTCTTCCTTGGCTGTGTGACCTTCGGCCGGTCACTTACCCTGGCGGCCGCAGAGGCTCCCGGTGGTCCTTCCAAATTTGGACTCTGGCTCCGAAAATATTTCCCGTCTCAGTGTGTGCGCCCAACACCTACTCCGTGCCACGGCCCCAACCGGGACAGCACCCCACTAGTCGGCATACGGGTATCTTGCACACCAAGCCTGGTCTCTTTAAACGGAAGCTCTCGGTGCCTGGGAAAATCATGTGCCATCAGCTTCCATATTCGTTAGCTCGCACCTTTCCTTGCCAGCACGTAGCAAATTGTGTACATCTGGGGGAAGCAAAGCTGGAGACCCACTCCGTAGGGGCAGGATGTCTGAAACAACAAAACGTGAGTTATTTTTGAAATGTTTCCTTTTCGGGCCCTCCTACTCACCGTAATATCTGGCTGAGGTGTGAATGGCTGACTCCAGCAGGTATCGGGAACAGATGGAAGCGCCTAATTATGTCTCTTACATGGGAGGAGAGATAAAGCTGTTAATCGCTAATTGTACACCTCTCCTGTTTCCCCACCGCAGGGCCGTGGGGCAGAGGCCACCTCCCGAACCGAACACAAACATGGCCTGGGCCCGTGGCTGAAAAAAGAAGTGTTTAAAGCTGTCGCAGCACGTCTCCGAGGCTGCCGGCTCGCTTCCAGGGCTGGCGAGGAAGGGGGTCCAGGAGTGAGGAGGCAGGCGGTCCTGGCGGTCTCCGGCTCCCCCGTGCCCTGAGCCAGCGAGGACCCCGCCATTGAACGCTCAGACAACGAAAGCTCAGCATGGAGGGTAGCAAAGCGATGCTTCCCCACCAGGAAGTGACATCCGGTAATTGCATCCAGCGTGCTTTGGGGTGAACTGGTGACACCGGAGAATGCATGGGACACCGAGGTCTGCAGGCACCAGCTTGCATGCACTTACCTCCTCAGTGGACACGGGTAGTGTTGCCATCTAGAATCTTCCTGCATCTTCCAAGCCGTCAGCCGGTGGCGGTGGGGGGGGGGGTTAGAGGCCCCCCCATCTTGCAGGGAGGCACGCCGGCGCAATTCTTGTTACGTGCGAGGCAGCGACGTGGCCGGGTGGTACCTCCCAAGGTGACGAGACACTCCGTTTCCGCAGGCACAGTGATTGGCTCATGGGTGGTCATGTGACACGAGCCTGGCCAATCAGAAGGCTGGGCCTGAAATTCCTGAGAAAGAAGCGTTCTCTGGAATGGTTATCCTACCGGGGATTGCAAGCTGCTGTGTTCATCCCGAGTGTAGCAGAAGCTGCGGACGCCGCGCCCACCTGAGTTCGGCTACGGCGGTGCCAGGCTGTTCCCAGCTCAGGCACCTGCTTCTCTTGTTCTCTGCCTGAAGGCTTCCGCTGGCGCCCAGGACCCTCCTCTCAAGCTTGCAGTGAGAGAGAGCTGATACACTCAGACAACCTTCGCCAACAGGAAACGGAAAGCAGCGGATTAACGCTAGGGTGCCCCTGCTCTCTGATGGGATGCTCTCTGATGGGATGGTCTGGAGCGCGCCCTACGCGGTCTCTAAGAACATCCCAGGGTGACTCCCCTACAGTGGTCACCGGCTCACCAGTGCCTCGTGGATCGCCGTTTCTCCCACCTCAGTCCCACCTCCCCCGTTTCCTCCCTTGTGCTTCTCTTGCCGGCAGGAGAGTCTGCGCTGTGTGTAGGGAGGTCTGGGTTATTGGATTCCCCAAGAAAAGGTTTGCGGAGGGATCTGTGTTCCCGTAAAGACAGCCGGGAGGAAAGCAGCTAGCATACGGCAGTTTGTTAAGGACAGTACGCTCTCAGGACGGGAGGGTGGGCAGGCCCAGAGGTGGAAACGGTCCTGTGGCTGCAGGGGTCTTGGGTCATGGCCATGGTGACATGGTGGTCTCTAATAGAGGCTGCTTCCAATCATTTGGGGGACTCCTCCCCCTGGTCAGGAGGGGGAGTTTTTGACCCTTTAAGGTTTGTACCAGAACCGACGTGGTAGCCTTCTTCCATTGGGGGGCCGGGCGGCGAGGGTAAAACCACAATGCAGATGCATCATAAAGAGTCTAGGGGTTACCGCAGGGCAGAGGTGAAGAGAAGAGAGCGTGTTCTGCACCTGTAGCTCTTGGTCTGTCAATCCCGCGGTGCTGGAAGCCATCAGGCCAGGATGTTGAGAGCCACAAAGTCAGGATGCTGTGCCCCCAAGCTTCTAATGTGTAACCTACTTATCACTGCCCTTGTCTCCGGCTCACCTCTAACTAACTGCCTACTCTATCACTTCCTGGGGTCACCTCCTGTGTTAGTTCGGTGCCCCCGAGAAGCAGGTGCCAGATGAGATTAGACATGCAAGGAGTTTATTGGGAGAAGTATTTGTAAAGGCAAACAGGGGAGGAGCTGGCGAAGGCGGGTCTCGTTCTGCAAAGGGGAGAGAAGGGGAGAAGGATGGAGGGGGTAACCAGGCAGGCAGCCATGGGCAGCGGTGCAGTTCCAAGACAAGTTTGGCCAGGCCAAGGAGGGGCTCTCCAGCCAAAGCCATCTGTCAGGGGAGTCCCGCATCTACCACACTCGTGGGCCGGTTTCAGTGGCCTGACTGTGCTCAGGCATTCCTGGGAGCAGCCCATGGGAAGCGTGGCTTTCACGTGCACATGATGGTGGATCAGGAAGTGTATTCTGATGCAACTGTACTTCCTGCAGCATCGGATCTGAGTGGTGCATTTGCATGGTCACTACATCTCCCAGATAAACTACCTGCACCAGAGTCTGATTTTTTTTTTAATTTATTTTTGAGAGAGAGAGAAACAGAGCACGAGTGGGGGAGGGGCAGAGAGAGAAGGAGACACAGAATCCGAAGCAGGCTCCAGGCTCCAAGCTGTCAGCACGAAGCCCGATGACGGGCTTGAACCCACCAACTATGAGATCATGACCTGAGCAGAAGTTGGAGGCTTAACGGACTGAGCCACCCAGGCGCCCCCAGAGTCTGCTTTTAGTGGTGGGAGTGGTGGTAGGTTAACTCAAACTATGATGATAAGAAGGCCTGAGAAGGAACCATATATAGAAGAAAACAAAGCACCTGGATCATTTGGACACCTGGATCCAGCCATTCCTGATGTGAGATAATCCATCGAATGTTGCCGTTACAGAAGTCATTACATGTCCTTTGTTGTTTTGATCTTTGTACTTGATGTTTCAGCTGGTTGGTGTTGGGTTTCTGTCAATTGCAATCAAAAGGATATTGTCTATATAGAAAAGACTCTTAAATTCTGAGAACAAACTGAGGGGGGTGGGGGAGAGGAGAAAGTGGATGATGGGCATTGAGGAGGGCACCTGTCGGGATGAGCACTGGGTATTGTATGAAAGCCAATTTGACAATAACTTCTATCTAATATAAAACAATAATAAAAAAAGGATACTGCCTAATACAGATAGCTAGATATCAGTTTTGACTAGTATTGCTCTGAAATTCATTTTGTTTCCCTTGGATTTAGTGAGTCAGCCATGTGAAGATTTTCTTCCCTAAGCCTTCTCTATGGCAATCCTTGGCCCTCTCCCTTCTCTCCGCTCAGAACATTATGGCACAGGGGACCCTAGAACCCACCATCTGATGCTTAGTTTAGTTCCTTTGCTTGTACTGGGCCTGTCCGGGGCTCTGTGCTGTGTGGGGACAGGAAATGCTGGTTGAATTGAATGAAAGTATTTAAATGTGACTCCCCATAAATTGTTACTGACCCTGGACAAATGGACCTACTGGCAAAGCTGCTAATTAATCCAACAATAATTCTGAGGCAATCAGGCTTCATTAACGTGGGTTCTGGCCTCATTTTCAGAAGTGCTTTGGATTGACAACTGTGGCCTGGCAGCTAGAGCAGGTATGTCTAGCCAATGAATCGTGATGCCTTCTGTCACCTCCACTCCCTGGGAATTTAGACAGATCAATCGATCCCTCTTTCGAACCAGCCATCTCTACTGGCAAAGGAAAAAGTCTGCGCCAGGGTTTCTGACTCCTTCAGCAGCTTCCTCACCCAGCTGGCTTCTTCTGCAATTTCATGGATAAAGGGAGGCCCTAAGGCCTGAGCGTTTCAGTTCCTTACCACCAACTGCGAAATCCGACGGCAAAGAGTTCTGTGCAAAAGACAACCAGATGCCTTTGGACACAGAAATTAATCACTTACAGTTCAAAATAAGTGATCTTTATTTTTCAAAGATACAGGTGAATTTGAATAAAGAGCATACAGGCATTTTTTTGGTACTGTTCTTGCAATTTTTGATAAGATTAAAATAGATAAACTGTTTTGAATACTGGAGAAAGTAAGGTGCTTTAAATTTGTCATTTGGATAAGGTACAAATTTGGGGAACCATTGCTCTGTCTTGTAGAAAGCCCTTATCTGAGCATATGAATAGCACGAATAGCATTTTTCCTTGATTCCTGTTACTGACAGAGATTTTCTCCCATTTTTTAAAACACTTATTAGATGGGGTGCCTGGGTGGCTCAGTTCAGTTGAACGTCAGACTTCAGCTCAGGTCATAATCTTGTGGTTCGTGGATTCGAGCTCTGTGTCGGGCTCCGTGCTGACAGCTCGGAGCCTGCTTCGGGTTCTGTGACGCACTCCCTCTCTTTCTGCCCCTCCCCTACTTGTACTCTCTCTCTCTCTCAAAATAAATAAACATTAAAAACATTTTTTTCAACATCTATTTGGCCATTTCAGTTCCTTGAGCTATCTTGAACTGCGATCTCCCAATGAACAGTTTAGAAAGTGGAGTCTACCGATTAGTAAGATTTAGTTTCTTATCTAGACTAGAATCTGGGATCCATTCTTACCTCTAGGCGTATGGTTCCCGTGAAGATTTTCACTCCAAGAACTTCTTGCCCTACTTTTGGCTTCTTGCCACAGCTGAACAGAATGGCTTCCCTCTCTCCATTTTGAAGGATGCACCACCAAATGGGCCACTTGTTAAAAAATAAACATTTCCGCCCAGTGGGACTGATTCAGAGCCTGTGAATGACCACGCGTTTCCCAGCGGTCCGAGCAAAAACACTCTGCCGACCTCCAACCTCCCCAAGTACTCAGGAACAATGTATCTTCCAAGATGCCCTTCTTGTCCCTTCTCCCAAAGTAATTTTGCAGAAGTGACAGTAACTTTAGAATGTCAAAATGCATGACCTGGGCAGAAAATAACAAAGACAGATATAGCTAGTGAAGACGGTCTTCCCACGAGAAGAGCTCGTCACCTTAGGTGGCAAAGAGAGGAAGGGTCGCCTTGCCTTCCCTTCATAATTTGTTGAAATATGTAGTAAGAACTTGCACTCTGACAAAAATTGTGCCAGGCACATGGGATACAAAGATAATAACATTCATCTCCATCTCCGTCTTTGATAAACACAGTCTGCCAGGTCAGAATCTCCCACAAATCGGTGACAGGTGTGCAGAAAGTTTAATCCCATCAGCCACTGGGGCAGCCAGGAGGGTCTCGGGGTGGGTAAGTCCCTCCATGTGGTCAAAGCACATGGCAGGCTCCTCCATTGCTCCCAATGTGCCCTTGAAATCACACCATTGTTCATGTGTACCATCACGTGGCAGAGATCAGGAAGCACTAGAAGAGTCCGACAACTCAAGAAATAATGACAACTTTTGCCAGTGCTTATCGTGTGTTTGTTGCTGTTCTAAGTGCTTCACACACAGGGCCTCATCATCTCCTCACGACAAACTTCATACGTTAGGTAACAGCATTTTCATTGTTCAGATAAGGAAGCTATGGCAAAGGGTAAGGTACTTACTCAAGCTCACTCCAGACAGTAAAGGACAACCCAGGTTCAAAGCCATGCTTTCCGGTTCTAGACGCGTTCTTCATCACGACGCTGTGCTGCCTCTCGAAGACATAACCACGAGCACATTATGGTAAATCCTGTAACTTTCGTATGCAGAAAACACTGTGGGTATCCAGAGGAGGGGGTAACCCTGTCTTCCTGGGAGAACCGAAGCCCTCACCTAAATACCGGCTGATAGGAGATAGTCCTGAACAACATTTCCTGGACTTCAATAACAATATTTGGGGAAACAAAGAATTAAAAGTCTTGTCTTCAGTTAGAGATCACTGCGATGTGATGGTAACCAAGAATCAGAGTGAGTGAGGTGGAAATAACAGCAGGATCACAAGGCCAGAACGTCAACAGGATAAAGGTTCTCGGGTCCTGGGCGTCAACCTGTGCGCTTGGTTCAGTCCTGAGCTGGTGACGGTGGGCTGCTGGCTTTTCACGAGGAGTGTAGTCTGCATTTGATCTGGGGGATTCTGGGACGTGGGCTGGTTGATTTTGCGCTGGCCTGTTCTCAAGAACTTGTTGGAAATTTTGGCCAGGATTTGGCAACTGGAAAGGATAAGGAATAACTTGCCCCAATTTCTTATTGAATTTATCCATTCTTCACTGTCACTTACAGTAATTTCTTAATTTGAACAGGTTACGCGACGGCAAAACCCCGCAACAGCCCCTCACAATCCACAGGGCGAGGCGCAAGCTCTATTCTTCAGTCTGATGTGAAGGACCCCGTGTGAGCCCTGGTTATCTGGCCAGCTCGATTTATCATCATCTCCTCCGGTCTTCAGCCACGCCACATTCCCATTCGTCTCCAACATCACAGGCTACATTCTTACAGGTTTCTATAACTATTTGTATGTTATTTCTTCTGCTTGGAATATCTTTCCTCTGCAAATACAGCTGAATAAAACCTATCAACTATTCATACATTCATACAGAGCTCTAAAGAAAAGGTTTTCATGATCCCCTTACTCAACGTCTTGAGCAAAGTTCTATTAGATTTTCTCTATGCTTCCTTGCACAGTATCTATCTATCTATCTATCTATCTATCTATCTATCTATCTACCTATCTATCTGTAAATCTGTATCAATGTCTTTATTTCTATCTATCTTTCTATCTAGGTAGATAGATCTAGACAGATATAGGGAGAGATCTACACAGGTATCTATAGGATAGATGGTGGATAGATAGATAATTGATAGATAGGTAGATAGATAATGATTGATAAATAATTGATACATAGATAGGTGATAGATGATAGATAGATAGATAGATAGATAGATAGATAATTTTTAGAACATCATATTTGCAGATTGTGAGTTCTTCCTGGAAAAAACTTCCCACACGTCACCATCTCTTAGCACAGAGGTTGATCTGGAGAGAGCATCGATCAATGTCGGTTGAATTAACATTCTATAAAAGCACAAACACAACAGGAAGAAATAATATACATTACTCTCAGATTAAAAAAAGGGGCTTAAGACCTGAGCATTGGGGGTGGGTGGCAGGTGGCATAAAAACATAAACTAAAATGGAAGAATTCCCTCAAAGCGCAAACAGCTGCCCAGTGGAAAGAGGCTGCGAGGGCAGAGAGAGGAAGGCTGGTTTTACTTACCTGAATGCAAGCCTTGGGCAGGAGGAAAACGGCTTGGGGTGCTGGGGAGAAGGCACAATTCTAGGAAGAAAGGAAAAGAAACCTGGCTTTGAAACAAGGGATCCAGAGCGAAAGAAGAGTTAAAATATTTATAAGAAGAAAAGCACATGGTACATTATACGTCAACCAACAGGCCTCGCAGCCTTTGAGCAAATCTCTGGAGAGCAATTTTTGAAGTTCTCTGTGCAAAGGCAGAGTGTACACATCTCCGGGTTGATGCGCAATCTCTCTCCCCAGCAAAACTGAAAGCTCGCCTCGAACATGGTACATATTTGTCCTTGCCGTATCCAGCAAGGCCTTTTGCTGCGGAGCTAAAGAAAAAAAAAAAAAGAATGGAAAAGAAAGAGAAATCCTATTT